TTTTTTTTTTTTTTTGGCCTCTGGCGTCGCTAATTCCCTCTTGCTCCTTCCCCATCAGTCAGCCTCATGCTTTGTGACTCTTTTCTTCTGCCTGCTGAGCAGCTCGTTAGGAGCAGCCAGGCAGAAGAACTGCCTGCTCCTGACTTGCCAGCTCAGGGCAGGTTTGGGAGCTGGTGATCCTGATTCAGCAGCAGGTAACTGGGAGAATGCCTGACCTCCAGCAGAAAATTAGTGGATCCATCCCTCCCAGTGCCTCAAAGCTCCATGTCTCAGCTTTGTAGTGACTGGGGTTAATCCTTTCCTCCTGCTCCTTGTGTCTTGTCACCTCTGCACAAGGGGTTTTATTCCCCACCTTGTTTTTCCGTCCCATCTCCCTCAAAAGCATAGGGACACTTGCTCTGTCTATCCAGCATGTGGAATTTCACTACGTGCATCTCCTAAAAACTCCAGGAAAATTATAATTGAAGACTTAAAAGTGGGTTTAATTGTGTGGCCTTCTGGAGAATTTGATGTTTTAGCTTTTATTGCCAGACACTCAGAGCCAGCACTGAGATTGGAGTAGCCCAAAGGAAACTCCTGCTCCTGCAAATCTGCCTCTCCAGTTCAGGAATGCAGGTGTTTAACTCTGGAGCAGGAGCATGTCACAGCTCATCCTGAGTCCCCACGAGCCTGAGCAGTGTTCAGATGTCACCGTGAGATCAGAGCTGTGCTGGAGGGATCAACCTGCCCTGACTCACCTGCCAAAAGGAGCAGCAGCACAACCCCACTGTGCCTTCCCTCAGCAGGAACAGAATAGTTTGCTCTCGGCATTTCTAACGTGACAGAGGAATAAATCCCCAGAAAGATGTTTTTTACAAGTGCAGGTAAAGCTGTTGTGCCTCAATTTGGAGCTGCCAGGCCCCAAAGCAGTGCCCTGGGGCACCCACTGGGCACAGCCCGGGCACAGCCCTCCCAGCACAGCTGGAGGCAGCGTCATTCCAGCGCCGCACTGGGGCCTGGCCCTTGGAATGGGGGCTGCCTCTGCAGCTGTGCAGACACGTTCCCTGCCAGCTTTGTGGAGTCTGCCCCAGAAAAACGTCCTTTCTGGGGGAGGCAGCTTTCATCCCAAACTAGCAAACCCGTTCTGACAGCGCCGGAATTCTCCGGAGGTCACGGCTGTGGAGGGCGTTGCGTAAGATGAAAACACCATGGGTTGAGGCTGTGGAGGAAAAGAGGCTTCACAGAGCTCCAGTGCAAGCTGGAGACACAGTGTTTTCCTGTCTTCTGTGTTTTCCTGTCGCTTCTCTGTTGCTCCTTCCCAGGAAACATCAAGGATTTGTGTTCAGTTGATAAATGTGACTCACAGCTGCCTTTCCCCGTGGTTTCAGAGCTGCCTTCGAGGCAGCAGAGAATGGGTTTGAAATTCCTGATTTCCTCCTAATTTCCCACTCATCCCCCAGAAGAGTTGTGGATCAATAGTGTGTCTCAGTATTGAGATACAGGGCTGTCACCCAAAACCATTTCCCTGCTCATACAGGCACTGACCTGCTCCTGAACCTTGGCTTTGTGCAGGTGCTTCTCCTTCAGCAAACAAGGGTGAACCCGCTGCTCTGCTTCAGCAAGAAATCTGAGCAAGTTTCCATTTGCACTGTAAATTTTAAAATATGGGACTGTTTCTCACCCAGAATTGTAAGAAAAACACTGGAATTTCAAGTGCTGAAAGGGTGGGGTGAACAGAGACCTCGATTCTTTTGTGGTGTTGCTTTTAATTTTCAAATTAGTCTGATGAACTCTCTCTGTTGTAGAAAAAGCCTTTAATGTATGATCATAATTTAAATATTATATCAGTCCCTCGATGGATGATGGGAAAACCTTCCCCTTTCCTCGACTGCTCTCCAGTAATCCCCCAAAGGTTTGAAAGCACTCCCATTCCTCCTTGGAGCTGTTCCATATTGATTGCTGAATCCTAAATGACCTGAACATCTTAATATCTCATGTCTTCTAAATCTGTGACACCGAGATGGGAATGGGGTGGGAGAAGCTGGATCAGATATTTGAAAACCTGTACCTCAGAGATGTAACCATGTTAATTTTTAAGAGGAATTCCAAAGTACCACCTGGTGTTGGAGCTGACGCGTCCGGGCTTGTTCCTCTTTGTGGTTTCTCCCCTCCCAGGTTCCCCCTACGACTTCATCTCTCTGGAATGGCTGCAGAAATGGCTGGATGAGTCCACTCCTCCCAAACCTATCGACAACACGGCCTGCCTGTGCTCCCATGGCAAACTCCATCCCGATAAGATATCCCTGATGAAGAGGATTTCGGAATACGTGGCCGACTTCTTCTACCGGCGCTACGGGGGAGGGCCCCGGCTCAACGGTACCGTCCCCTGGGGTGTGCTGGGCGTGTCTTAGAGCCTTCTGCTGGTCTCAGCCCCAGTTGGACTCCTCCTTGATCATCACAACTTCATTTCAGTACTTTAGTGCTGCACTATTTCTGGGGATTTTTTTAATATCACCTAATTCTGTTAACGTTCCCCAAACCCACTGAGTGGGATTGCAGGGCCTGCTGTGTCCAGGAAGGGCTGTGCCTGCAGGAATTGCTGAGGATTGCTTAGAAAATCCGACACTTGGAAGGTTTGAAGGCAATTCTAGAAAATAAGACTTGCACAAGGAACCCCCCCAAACTCTTGACAGTTCTTTGCTGTGCCTGCAGCACCCGCAGCTCCTACGTGGGCAGAGTCTCAGGGAGCATTCAGGCCAAAAAAATCCCTTCCTGTCTGTCACCTCATCCAAGGAAGCACAGACCTGTTGGCCTGCATTCTCCTGCTGAAGCATCCACCACACATCCAGCTTTTTGAGGTCAGCCCAGCCCCTCCAGGCTTTGGCCACCCCTTCCTCGAGCCCCAGGCTTCATTCCTTTGAGGAAGGAGCTCAGTAACTCCCACTGAGACCAAATTAGCTCAGCTCCTACCAGGAGCTTGTAGGGAAGGATTGCTGGTGACGCAGACAGCCTTTGTGGGGAAAAACAGGGCAAGGTTTATTAGTCAAGTGGAAGATTTCCTGAAGGGTTGTGGGCTGAGTGTGGCTGGGAGGGAAGGATAAAAGGATGGATGGACACGCTGCTTCCCATCCCCTCTTGCTCCCAGATGAAAATACACACAACACATGCCCAGCTGTAGGATTTCCACTCCTTTGGTCCAGTGCAGCTTTGCAGGAGGGTGTTTTTTCTGGGTTTAACTGGTAAAATGCCACGATACAGGTGTTTTCCTGGCATATGCCTTTGCCTGTGTGCTGGGCTGACCTGGCTCCCAGTGCAAGTGGTGGATACCAGGACTCTGATAGAGCTGTGGAGGGAGTGAAGCAGATTTCACCTCATTTGCAGCATTTTATGCTTCTTTAAGCTTCAAATGTGGCCTGATAACCCCCAGGATCTCCTCATTTACACATGAAATCTCCCATCCTGAGGCCAGGATAGTTGGCACACTCCAGTCTGAGGGTGGTCGAACAGACAATAAGACACCTGTGCAAGAAATTGTGCAAGAAATAGTGTAATAAATTGTGGTTTTTCCCCCCCACCCCAGTCAAAGCACTTTGCAAGGACTGTGTGGTGGAAAGGTGTCGAATCCTGCGGCTCAAAAACCAGCTGAATGAAGACTACAAAACTGTGACCAACCTGCTGAAGGTCACAGTCAAGGGGTATGTCAGTCCCAAGTGCTTTTTAGAAGTGCCTATATAGCTTTTTCCTAAAGATTTTACCGGTGTGGCTCTGAAGGAGAAGGGGGCTGTGATTTTGTGGTGATTTGCCTTGTTCTCTCCCTGCAGGAACGACAGGTTTTGGGTTGGAAAAGCATCTTTGAGGAGCTGGCGTCAGCTGGCTCTGGAGCAGCTGAATGAGCAAGATGAAGATGCAGAGCACAGTAATGGAAAAATGAATGGAAACGCACAAAACAAAGGTATTCCCTCCTGATTTCCTCCGAATTTCTGCTGTACTGACCCAACAGCTCTGCCTGGTCCCTCCTACAAAAGACACATCGGGTGTTTCTGTAGCTGTTTTGTTTCCCTTGTACGAGTAGGGAAGAGAGGATAATAAATCAAATAAACTCCCTTTTAAGGAGCTTTTTCTTTGCTAAGCTTGGAAACTGCGGGGTGATCTTCATACCTGGAGAGGGAGATGAGGGGATAAGTGGTTTTACAAAGCTGTGTGAAATTACTCCCCCAGCCACACAATGTTTTCATCTGCTTTTCTCTGAGTGAGGGAACACAGGGGAGGAAGAAACATGAAAATTACCTTGGGGAAAGGGATGATGATGATGATGATGTTTGTTGTGAGGGTTGAGGGATGAAACAGCACAGGTGATGCAGCAGCGCTGGGAAAACACAGCCTAGGAACAAAAATCATTAGTTGGACCCAATTCTGTGCCCATATCATGAGACTAACTGGGGGGTTGTTTGCCTTCTGCTCTTTAAATCTTTGGAAATTACGTGTCGTTGACCTTTTCTGAACTGAGAGCAAGAAGCTGGTTGGAATGAAAGTGGGGATGATGGCTCGTGGCATTGATCTTGGGCTTGGAGGCTTGAGAACACCCCAGCACCCCGATAATGTCTGTAAGGTGGAGCACTCAGTGAGAAAAGGGCATTTCTGAGCTACCACTCACGTTTCCTCGGGGCTGCCTCTGATTTACAACAGGTTGCAACTCCCAGTAGTACAATTGAATTACTCACAAGCCAAGTTGCTCGTTAAGCAGCTCGTTAGAGGCTCTTACTGACACCTCATTGTCTTCCCGATGCTCCACTCAGCGGCCGAAGCTTCTGTGTGTGGAGTTGTGGATTTTAACTGGAATTCAGGCGTTGATTTGGGGCCTGTCAACCCCCTGCCGGCTTCCCTCTCGGTTTGTCAGGCAGCATCTGGTTTAGATCAGGAATTTTTGCCAGGAATTCTGCTGCCTTTGCTCTTACCTAGGCTTGTTTAGGTTAAACTCGGGAGATCCTTGGGAGCAGTGAACCCCCGCGGTGTTCCAGCCCTAACAAATGCATCCTTTGTAATCTCACAAAGGCTTGGCTTGTGCTCCACGCACTTCAAAGCCCTCCTACGTGGCCTGGAGGCTGTAATCCCGCCTGCCCAGAGGCCAAGACATCAGAGAACAACAAATTTCCTTCCAGATTTTCCCTTGGGTTGAGGGTTTTGCTGGAATTTGAAAGGCGGCCGAGTTCCTTTCCCCCCCACCCCGCCATAAGATTTTTCCTTGGGAAGAGGAACTCTGTGCAAACCTCTTGTCTTACTAATTTTTTTTTTCAATTAGATGAATCAAACGAAGAGAAGAGGGAGGAGGAAGAGGAGTTAAATTTTAATGAAGACATCGTTTGCCCACACGGTGAGTGTCTCCGGGGGTTGGAGCTGAATGTCTCCCTTGTGTCCCACTGCTCCACACATGAACCTCGTAGCCTTTGCTCCAACTGCAGCCAGCGTGAGGAGCCACTGCAGAAATGTGCTTAACTCTCATTTTCCTGGTGGTTCTTGCACTCAGAAGTTTTACTTGCAGGCAGATCCTGTAGGGGCTCAGCCAAGCTGAGCTTCTCCCCCTCTCATGGCATCCTGGGCAGCACCAAAGCTCTGCAGCCACTTGAAAGCTCTGAAAGCATTAAGAGAGAAAGAGGCGGTGTAAATCACTCCAGGTGGGAGCTCGGAGCGTCCTTTTAATCCTGGTTTACATTAGAACAGGAGCACTCAGCCAACACCTGGGCTGGGACCTCCGGATATTGATCTCCCAACCTGCTGAGCTTTGGTGTCTGTTTACAGAAGGTTTTGACCCCGTGTGGGTTGTTTTCCAAGTGATGCCTCATTAGCTGCATCCTTGGCTACCCTGTTGTTTAAATCTCACTTTTTAAAGCTCCTATTCCCAGACATAACTCTGTTTTACTTAAGCTCCTCTTCGTAGGCACTGATTTCCCTACTGGGGAGGCTCCATCTTATCCCTAATAAGAAAGAAAAATGCCATAAATTAGCCACACTCCTCCTGTCATCAGGGCTAATCAAGAACCTGGAGTAAGGCTGGAGAAAGCTCATTTTCAAGGCGGGTGTTTAAGCACTTTGTCACGATTTTATCTGTTACTCAGAGCCTTGAACTCCGCGTTTCCCGTTGCCTCGGGGCTGCTGCTGTTCAATAAAAGCAGGGAGTGTGGGGATAGAACATTTATGTAGCCAGACACGATAAAAAATAGGCCAATAGGCCTTTGGAAAATATTATGGTGTTAAATTGCTGGTTGATCTGTGACTTTGGGTCAGAGCAGAATAAATAATACTGTCAAAGGGGCTGCTGGCAGGGCAGGTTTTCTTGTCTTGAGCTAACCTTTGATTATTCGTGGAAAACAACCTTTCCACCTTGAAAAATTCTCTCTGGAGTGGATCAGCAAATCTGTAGTCTTGTTCCTACAGCCTTAATTTTGTGGTGGAGGAGGTTCCTGCCTCCGTGGGAGGCTCTGGAAAAGCCAGGGCTGGCTCTGTGAGGGCTGGCTGGCCTCCAGGAATGCCACCCGGGCGTTCCCTTCTCGACTCCCTTTGCATCCTTGCTGCAATTCCTCGCTCTCCAGTAGCTGCCTGATCCCAGTGAATAATTTTTTCCAGATACCAAGTTAAGCCTTCCTTTGATGTCCGTGCCCAAAGCATGTCCCTGGATGGTGGGAGTGGGAAACAGGGTCAGCAGCGGTTGGGATCATCTTCCAGATGGCAAAACACTTGTTCCTGCACACCCAGAGCTGATTTTTCCTCCTCTTTTCCTCACCATATTAATCTATTTTAATTAATCATGTGATGTCAAGGCACTTATTTGTACAAGCTCCTCTTCTTCCCCATCATTGGCTCTGGACAACATCCTGGTCCAACCTCCGGAGCCACTTGGCCGTGCTGGATGAGGCCCAAGTGGCCAAGTGCTGCATCGAGGCCTGACCTTTGTTTATTAGAGGAAAAGCAGGAGAGGGGATGGTTGCTATTTTTTCCTCTCCAGGGCTGGCCAGATTCCAGGCTGGGCTGGAGCAAATCCGTGAGCCCGAGGAGCTGCTTGTCATGTTAAAGAGCTACCAGAGGGTGGGGAGGAAGGAGTTTCTCTCCCTCTCCTCTCTCTGCAGCTCTCCAGGCTATAGAAAAGCAGATAATAAGGTATTGTGCCCTTCAGACACGGCAGTTGCTGTTTTCCTTCCCTCTTGCTGGTGCAATCCCACCGAGGCAGGAATATTCCCAAATCCGGTTTGCATCCCGGTGTCGCAACGGCTGCTCCTCGTGTTTCTCCCGGTGCCTGCTCACAGCACAGTGACTTCCAGCTGCTGTCTCAGAGGGGGATGTGCTTGTGTTTTCCCCTTGGATATCATCACCCCTGCAAGGGGCAGCTGCTCAGATTTTGGAGCCTTCTCCAGTTTTCCCAAGCCTTGTTTATCCGGAGTGTGTGTTGTCATGTGTGCACGTGGTGTCCAAGAGCCTGGGTGTGTCTCCTGCTTCCATCCCTGAGATGGCAGGCACAAATGGCTCCTGATAAACCCTTCCTGGGCTTTTTGAGCTGCCTGAGCACCGGGATAAATAATCCTGATAGCAGGATAAATAATCCTGATGGATAAATAAGTTGTCTGGGGGACAGCTGGTAAATCTTGCCCGGTGTCTTCACACCCGGTGGTTCCCCAGAGCAGATTTAGGGTGCCAAATCTGCCCTTGCCACATTTTGAGGTGCTTGGATAGGGCATGTGAAGCCATCTGAGATTCTGCAGGAGGAATTTGGGGTTTCAAGGATGTGGAGAGCACCTGGCTTCTGTTCCGTGGGACACAGGGTTAGTCTGGGGCTTGGTGCATGGAGGCACCATGGGGGTGTAGCTGTGGAGGAGGAACCAGTAGCCCTGTGCCCTCTTTGGCTTTTCCCAGCATCCCTGCTTGTGTTTGATCAGCTTGGAAATCCAAAGGACATTTTTATGAATTAAAATTATTGTTGTTGTTGTTATTATTATTATTATTATTGTTATTGTTATTGTTGTTATTATTATTATTATTATTATTTTTCCCTGTCTAAGGGAAGCAAGGCAGGAGTTGAAGGTGACTTTGTCGGCCGGACTGGTTTTTGCTGACGTGGTTTTGGCTGCTAAACGTGTGGATCTCTTCCCCCACCTTTATTCCCTGTAATCTCTTCAATCAAGGGCTGCAAAACATCCCTGAGCATGTTGTGATCAAAGCCCTTGCCTTGATTCTCTCCCTGCAGGTGACCTGTGCATCTCGGAGAACGAGCGCAGGGTGGTTTCCAGGGAAGCCTGGGAGAAACTCAAGCAATATTTCCCAAAAGCCCCCGAATTCCCGAATAACAAAGAGTGCTGTTCCCAGTGCAAGGTATTTGCCAAATATTCCCCTTTTTGTTGACTGTAAATACTGGTTGTGTTTCTGGTTTCCCTTTTGTCACGGCACCCGTGGAGGAGAATAATGTCACCTTTTAGTGCAGCTGGGATGGAATTCACTGTTTTCCTGCAGATTTTGGAGCGTGAAGGGGAGGAAAACGAAGCTCTCCATAAGATGATGGCCAGTGAGCAGAAGACTTCTCTCCAGAACCTGTTCCATGATAAATGCAGGCCTTGCCTGGGCAGTTGGCCTCAGGTAGGGAGGGAGGGGAACCAGGGAATGCAGCTGGGCTTGGGGCAGGTTTTATTGGCTTTTATCCTCTCCTTCCAAAGAAGCTGTGGCTGCCCCATCCTTGGAAGTGTTCCAGGCCAGGTTGGACAGGGCTTGGAGCAACCTGGGCTAGTGGAAGGTGTCCCTGCCCATGGCAGGGGAGTGGAATGAGATCCTTAGGGTCCCTTCCAACCCAACCCACTCCATAACCGTTCTCAGTCCATGCCAGCAGAGCTCACATGTGTGCTGTGCTGAGGTGTGATTTCCCTGGATTAGCTGTGCTGGCACAGAGCCCTAAAGAGCCACAGGAATGGCTCCTGTGCCAAGGGAGCTGTGGCTGGCCCGGAATCAGGCAGATAACAGGGACAATATTGCTGCTGGGGTTGTATCCGTCCCTGGAAGGATGGAAACGCCGCAGCCGCGCCGGTGGAAGTGACTTTTCTACCTCCTTCCATCAGCCTTCCCAGGTTGGAGAATGCTGGAACACACCTGAGTTCTGCTCCACCACCAGCTTTGGCTGCACCAGGTGTACTCCAGCATCCTCCTGCATCCCAGGAGCTCAGGAGGAGCTCCCCAAAATGCTGACACCCTCCAAAGAGCCGTGACGGCCGTGCAAACCCTCTCCTGGCGGCTGCTCCGGGACTTTTTGGGATTTAGGGTGGCCCAAAAGGAGTGGAACAAGCTCTTGGTTCAGTCCTTGGCTCCTGGGAGTCTCGTGGTGCTGATTAATGGTTGGCTCTCCAATCCTGCCAAGGTGCTTTGGCAGGTCTCTGCCTCGGTCCCTCGCTGCTCCAGCTGGGAATAAATACTGAGGCAGTATGGATCCATGGCTTGGAACCAAGGAGATCCAGAAGGGTTTAGAGGGAGTTTCCCTGAGCTGGAGAGCTCCAGGTTCTGCCAGGGGTGTTAAAGGCTTGTATCTGGCAGGATTTGCCTTTGGAGCTGGAGGAGGTGATGGAAAGCTGGAGCCTATCGCTGTTGGTCAGAAACAGGAGCCTCTCCACCACTGGGGCTGCATCCTCCTTTCCCTTTGGATTCTCCTTTCCCTTGGAATTTCCCAAGGGAGCCTGATAAAAGAGAGCTGAGGATTTTTCCCTCAAGCTTTTGGAGTTTTCCTGATCCAAAACAGTTGAGGGGTTTGGGGAGGGAAAACAAGCAGAGTGGTTTAATCTAGAGATTAAGGGAGATTAAATATATATATATATATATATTCCTCAGGTGTGCTGAGTTTTCCTGCAGAAAGATGGAGCAAGTCCTTAAATGCATGGTAGGGAAGATGGTGAGGATATAGATGATCGTGGAAGTGTTTTTGTCACCCAGCTCTTGGGATCTAGTTGGTTTTTTGTTCAGGAGCAAACAATTTAATGGTAAATTGGGACAAGAAGACAGGATTTATCCCAAAAACACTGCTTTGTTGGGTGCACAGCTGGGGTTTTTTGTTCCTGCTGCTGCCAGAAGGGAAAACCTGTGGATTTTGATATTGGAAGCAAGTGAGGGAGGTTGGGGTGGTCTCTGACCACGAGTACCCTCGAGAGAAAACAGCACTTGGCTGCTCCAGGGAAATGCCCCTTTCCCGCTGGGAATTAAAGGTAATTGGATTGAAAGCTTGACTAACTTTGTAATAAACATGAGATTAGTAAAGTCAGTGCTTAGTACTTGATCCCAAATTATTTTCCTTGGCTTTCCCAGCGTGCTTGGATGGAGTTGTCATGGTAAAACCGTGCCGAGGTCTGGGAGGGAGCGAGCGCTGCCGACAAACCTATTGCTGGGTTCATTAAAAAGATCCCTTTCCTTCTCTTTTCCCCCCAGGAGACAGATGAGCTGTATATTGTTTCGCAGTTCTTTGTAGAAGAATGGAGGAAATTTGTCAGGTAATTTTGGCTGGAGGGTTTTGGTGCTTTTTATCCCACGTTTTGGGGGCTGTAGGTAACATTTTGCTTCCGAATGCCGGCACAGCGGGTTCATGGAAACAAGGAAGCCGATTTTTGCAGGACTTGTGTTGGTTGTACAACACTGAATTTCCTTGTTTACCATGTGTTAACCAGATGGTCGGATTAGCTGGTAACCTGATTAGTTTTTTCATCTGTCTGGAGCTGTAGCCCAGAGGTCACCTCTCAGTCCTGTTTGCACAGGCTGGAGATGGAAATCTCCCCTGGACAGAGTCATTTTGCAGCACAGAGGAACGTGGATCTGATTTCCTCATCACTTGTAGTTAATATTCCATGTTGGAATGCCTTCTGTAAATAATTCACCTGTGATTTCTTCTTGGCTGCCTGCAGGACTGGGGGTTTTTGGTGGGATAAGCTGGTCCAGCTTTCCAAACCGCCTTCCCTTTTGCAGGAGGCCGACACGCTGCAGCCCCGTGTCCTCCATAGCCAACAGTGTCCTGCTCTGCCCCCACGGGGGGCTCATGTTCACCTTCGCTTCCATGACCAAAGAAGACTCCAAACAGTGAGTTTTTTCCCTTCACACGTTTTCCTTTCCCCAGGAGAACAGTCCAAAAGGAACGTTCTTGCTGCCGAGCCGCAGCGAGACGAGGAGCGAATCCCTTCCCTCAAACTAAACCAACACCTCGGCTTTCTCAGAGCCACCTCAGCCTTCCTGCAAGGCAAGACCTAAATTGTCCAAGGATGCTGGGTCAGGAAAAAAGAGCTTCCTTCAGCTTGGTTAGTTCCTGACAATAACCACCCTGGATCTGACCGGGGCGCAGGAACATCCTTCTTCCTTACAATTTGCTTTCCGTGCGCGTTCCCCCCCGGAGCGCTGCACTTCGTGCTCCGTGGCGTTGTTTCTGCAGTGATGCAGCACTGAAAGTAGAAAATCTTCCCCTCCTTCCCTCCTCCATCTCTCCCTCCGGCACGGCGGGAGCACAGCAGCGTCACTAATCACAGCCTGCCGCCGTCGGGGTGTGCAGGCCCTCCCCTGCAGCTGATTTTGGGGGGGATTTTGGTGGTTTTCTTTTGTTAAAATGCTGAAGAAGGAGGAGGGTTTTTCTGGGGGGAGTTTGGCTTTTCCATGTCATAAAGCACCTGCCTGTTCCTTTGCACAGTATAGCTCTGATATGGCCCAGCGAGTGGGAGAGGATCCAAAAGCTCTTCGTGGTGGATCACGTCATCAAGATCACCCGGACACAGGGCCCCGAGGGCACCCGCTACACCTCGGAGCCCCGTGAGTCACTCTGCTCCTGGGCTCTGGGAATGGCTCTTGTAGGATAAGAAATGAAGTCTGAGGTGGTAAATGTGGAGCTTGGCAGGTTCCCCACCTGGAGCACTGTGTCCAGCTGGGGGGTCCCCAGCTCAGGAAGGACGTGGAGCTGCCGGAGCGAGTCCAGAGGAGACCACGGAGATGCTCCAAGGGCTGGAGCCCCTCTGCTCTGGAGCCAGGCTGGGAGAGCTGAGGGGGTTCACCTGGAGAAGAGAAGGCTCCAGGGAGACCTGAGAGCCCCTTCCAGGGCCTAAAGGGGCTCCAGGAGAGCTGAAGAGGGACTGGGGACGAGGGGTGGAGGGACAGGACAAGGGGGAATGGTTTTAAACTAAAAGAAGGGAAATTTAGATGGGATATTGAGATGAAAGTCTTCCCTGTGAGGGTGGTTGAGGCCCTGGCACAGGTTGCCCAGAGAAGCTGTGGCTGCCCCTGGATCCCTGGAAGTGTCCAAGGCCAGGTTGGACAGGGCTTGGAGCAAGTGGAAGGTGACCCTGCCCATGGCAGGGATGAGGTTTAAGGTCCTTCCCAACCCAAACCATTCAGGAATTCAGTTGATCCACTCCAGGTTGGCAGTGAGAGGCACTGGGAAGGAGTCTCTGAGGAGCTGAAGCAATTAAATATGGTTTTTTTTTTTCCTTGGAAATATGTTTATTAACACATTAACTATGTTTATTAACATATTAAATCTGCTTTTTCCCCAGAGCTGTGCCCGGAGTGCCGGGAAGGGCTCCTGTGCCAGCAGCAGCGGGACCTGCGCGAGTACACCCAGGCCACTGTGTACGTGCACAAGGTGGTGGATAACAAAAAGGTACCGACAGGCTCCCCCTCCATCCTGCTCAGGGAGCACCAGGAATGCCCTCGGGGGGGTCTCACAGCCCCCAGGGGCTGGGATCTGCTGCTGGGGTTCCTGGTGGTGGGGAGGGCAGAAATCCCCCGGCTCTGTGGCTCCAGCTTTGGCCAGACCAGCACATGGGAACGTTCTGGCTCTGAAAATTCAGTCTCCTTTTGCCAAACGGAGTCCTTTGTGTTTTCAGGGATGCTCCCAGCTGTTTCTTCTGTCTCAGCTGTGTTCCCAGGCTCTACCTGCTCTCCTCCCCCTCCAATATTTGTCATTTCCTTTCTACTTGCTCAAGTTACATTTATCCCTGGATAGAAATAAGCTCTTCCCCTTGGTGCTGCTGAGAGGCTGAACTCCAAGATGGTTTTCAGGATCCCTGAAAGCTGCAAATTAGGTTTTTGCTGATCTTAAGTGTCAGGATCAACTCCAGAATTGCTTTTTCAGGGACCCAAATCTGGCTCTGGTGGAACTTAGGGCTTTTTAGGAGGCAGCCAAGGCTGGTGGGCACTGGGATCAAGACATTCCCTGCACTTTTGCAGGGTGGGAGTGGGTTTGTTTTGGCCTTCCATTGATTTCCAGCTCCCTGCCAATCCCAAGGAGGCGCTGGAGAACCACAGGGAGCCGGGGGCTGGATGGGTTCCTGCCTGGCTTGTGAGACGTGGAGCAGCAGCACGTCTGGAGCCATCAGCCTGAGTCCCGAGGCTGGATCCGCCTCGGCTCCGCCGCGGGAGAGCCTTGGGGGTTGTGTTTTTCTGGCACTGGCCAGGACTGTGCTCACACGTGGGGCTGGCAAAAAAACAGGGAGCTATTCTTTGTGGAGCAGCTGGAGCTGGAGAGAGGGGGCGAGTGAGTGCCCACGAGATTCCCTCAGTAACAGGGCAGGGATGGGAAGCAGCAGGAATGCCAGCCAGGATCACTGGGAGCCACTGTGTCCTTCCTGCTGGGCTTTGCACAGTCAGGGAGTGTTTCCCAGCCCCTCACCCCTTCTCCTCCCCCTGCTACCTCCTTGGGGTGCAAGAGGGATAAAATCGTTGTAGGATGGCACTGCTGGAATTCTGAGAGCTCTGGGGAATGTTTGGGAGGTGGGATTGCATCGATGATTTTAAATATATTGATGGAATTGTGAGCTCTCGGGCATCCAGGTCTCCTGAGCTCCTGCAACCCCAGCTCCAGCTCCAGAGATGGGAATTCACATCCAGGCAAATCCGTGTCTTCTGGAGTGACTTCCTCAGACCTGAATGTCCCTTTTATTTATGTATTTGTGTAAATTGTTTAGGTTTCATTTACTTACACCCTGCAGCCCCATAAATAATGGTTCTGAGTCCCTCTGCAGGGAGGGACAAGTGTCTTAATTTACAGATAATATTCTTTTCTCCATGGTGAGGCTTTTGTAATGCACTTGGATCAACCAGCTACTGGGAAAGGAATCAGTCCAGGCCCCGGGAGACTTTCCCTTTGCCTGGAGAGAAGGGCAGGAAGCACCTGCAGCTCCATAGAGGGGGATTCCTGAGCCGAATCCGCCTGAGGTCCCACGCAGCTGGGGAGGGTGGAGGAGCCTTTTCAGACCTCCTGGAGCAGCTCCCGGGGTTATTCCCAGGCTCTGTGGGTGGAGGTGGCACCAGGAAGGTGTCCAGGAGCTGATTCCGTGGTGGGACAGTCCGGGTGGGTGCTGTTGGTCACAGCAGAGTGGTTTTTGTGACTCCAGGTGATGAAGGACGCGGCTCCGGAGCTGAACGTGAGCAGCTCGGAGGCTGAAGAGGAAAGGGAGGAAAACAAGCCAGAGGGGGAGCAGGACCCTGATTTTAACCAGGTAGAGATGAAAAATCCCAGGAGGTTCCTTGATTTCCACATCATTCTCCGGAGTCAGCACGATGAGGTCACCTCCCTCCTCCTGGGTCCGACTGGTGGGGGACACGTGTCTCAAAGTGTCACTGGAATGGTCAGACCACACCAGTGCTGGTTTTTGGAGAGGTTAAACCTGGACAGGGACTTGTCTGCCCGTGGAAATCTGCCCCACGCTGGCATTAGGACCTGGAACCGAGGCTTGAAAGGCAAATCCTTTGGTCTTCTCCACACTTGCACGCTTCAGTTGGCTTTCCAAGGGATTTTCCATCGCTTCCCGCCTTCCCTCGCATGACCAACTCGCCCCAAACACCCTCTGGGATACGGGGAACTTGTGTTTATTCCCAAATAACTTGATCTCCGTGGGTTTTGCCTCCTCTCCAGGCCAACGGCGGCGCAAAACGCCAGAAGCTCTCCCAGCAGAGCTACATCACCTACCAAAAACAGGGAATCAGGAGGAGCACCCGGCACAGGAAGGTCCGAGGGGAGAAGGCCCTGCTGGTGTCGGCCAACCAGACCCTGAAAGAGCTGAAAATACAGGTGGGGGGGAGGAATGCCAGGAATGAGGGAAAACCATCCAACCAGAGTGTGGGGAGGGAGGGGAAGGGGAGGATCCCACATGGGGTCAGATTGAGGTGGGGTGGGGTGGGAATTAGGGGGGGTATGTTGGGTTGGGAATTAGGATGTGTTGGGGGGTTGTGTTGGGTTGGGAATTGGGGGGGTTGTGTTGGGGGGGGCTGTGTTGGAGTGAAAATCAGGGTGGGGTTGTGTTGGGGTGGAATTGGGGGTTGTTACAGTGGGAATTGGGGTGGGAAATTGGGCTGTGGGAGTTGGAGAGGGGGGGTTGTGTTGGGGTGGGTTGTGTTTGGGGTGGGAATTAGAGGAGGTTGTGTTGGGGTTGGAATTGGGGTGGGTTGTCTTGGGGTGGGAATCAGGGTGGAAATTGGGGTGGGTTGTGTTTAGGATGGGTTGTGTTGGGGTGGGAATTGGGATGGATTATGTTGGGGTGGGAAATTGGGGTGTGGGAGAGTTGTATTGGGGTGGGTTGTGTTTGGGGTGGGAATTAGAGGAGGTTGTGTTGATGATGGAGTTGGGATGGGAATCAGGGTGGGTTGTGTTGTGTGGGAATTGGGATGTGTTGGGGGGGTTGTGTTGGGGTGGAATTGGGAGCTGTGTTAGGATGGGAATCGGGGTGGGTTGTGTTGGGGTGGAAATCAGGGTGGAGTAGGTTGGGAATTTGAGTGGGTTGTGTCAGGGTGGGAATGGGGGTGGGATTTGAGGGATCTGCAGTGCCCCATCCCTGCTCCAAGAAGCCGTGTCCCTGTCCCAGATCATGCACGCCTTCTCCGTGGCCCCCTTCGACCAGAACCTGTCCATCGACGGCAAGATCCTGAGCGACGACACGGCCACGCTGGGCAGCCTGGGGGTCATCCCGGAGTCCGTCATCCTGCTCAAGGTATCGGGGGGATCCGCCCAAATCCACAGGGATCCTGCCCAAATCCACTGGGATCCCACCCAAATCCACTGGGATCCTGCCCAAATCCACAGGGATCCCGCCCAAATCCACAGGGATCCTGCCAAAGTCCATGGGATCCCGCCCAAATCCACTGGGATCCCACCCAAATCCACAGGGATCCCACCCAAAATCCACAGGGATCCCACCCAAAATCCACAGGGATCCCGCCCAAATCCACTGGGATCCCACCCCAATCCACAGGGATCCTGCCAAAGTCCATGGGATCCCACCCAAATCCACTGGGATCCCGCCCAAATCCACAGGGATCGTGCCCAAATCCACAGGGATCCTGCCCAAATCCACAGGGATCCTGCCCAAATCCACAGGGATCCCACCCAAAATCCATGGGATCCAGCCCAAAATCCATGGGATCCAGCCCAAAATCCATGGGATCCCACCCAAAATCCGCAGGGATCCCACCCAAAATCCACAGGGATCCCACCCAAAATCCACAGGGATCCCGCCTAAAATCCACAGGGATCCAGCCCGAAATCCATAGGGATCCCACCCAAAATACATGGCAATCCTGCCCACAATCCAGGGGGACCCAGCCCAAACTCCACAGGGACCCAACCCAAACTCCACGAGGATTCAGCCCAAACTCCACGGGGATCTCACCCAAAATCCAGGGGGATCTCACCCAAAATCCAGCTGGGTTCGTGCAGTCAAAGGGAAACGTGTCGTGGGGCCTGTGAAAATTGGGAAAAATTCAGTGAGTTCTTCATGGAGCCCCTTCCTGGAGGAGGAAAATCCTGTTTGGTTTTGGTTTGGAGGAGGAAAATCCTTGTTTTCTTCTGTTTTGGAGGAGGAAAATCCTTATTTTTATTGGTTTTGGTTTGGAGGAAGATCTCTTTTTGCTTTTTTTTTTTTTTTTTTGGAGGAAGAAAAAACTTGTTTTTGAGGAGGAAAATCCTCAGGTTTTTGTTTTGGAGGAGAAAGATCCACATTTTTTTGTTTTGGAGGAGGAAAATCCCTATCTTTTTCATTCTGGAGGAGGAATATCCGTTTTTTTGTTGTTTTGGAGGAGGCAAATCCTCATTTTTTTATTTTGGAGGAAGAAAATCCTTATTGGTTTTGTTTCAGAGGAGGAATTCGTTTTTTTCATTTTGGAGGAGAAAAATCCTTATTTTTTTGCTTCGGAGGAGAACAATCCTTATTTTTTCTTCCCAAGGGCCTTTATTGGCTGGTTTTGCTGCTGAGCAGTGTGGGTACCAGCCCAAAATCCAGCTAAATTAGGGAATGAATCCTCCTCTCACGTTCCCAGTGTTTGGGCAGGAGCCCCATTTCCTGCTCCCCTCCGGAGGTGGCTCCAGGAGCTCCTTCATCCCAGTATTCCCGTATCTTTTCCAGGCTGATGAGCCCATCGCGGATTACGCAGCGATGGACGACGTTATGCAAGGTCAGAGGGGAGGGGGAAGGTTGGGGGGGGACAGGAATTTTGGGTGGGAAAGGTGGAAAAAGGGAATTGTGACACTTCCTTGTCATCCTTGGGATCTTGATCCATCGGAACAACTTCTAACGCCTTCCTTTCCCTCCCATCCCAGTCTGTATGCCCGAAGAGGGATTTAAAGGTGAGTTTGGGGTGATTTCCCCCCCCTTTTGCCCAAATTCCACCCCCATCCCACCTCCCTCCTCATCTCCTGGTGGTGTTTTATCCCCCCCAGGGACTGGTTTACTCGGCCACTGATGGTTTTCCAAGAGGAGCGACCCGAAGGGAAGAGGATTTGGAACGTGGTAGGGCATTAAAAGCATCCAAAAAAAAAGGTGGATATGGGACTCTGTGACTCTTCCAGAAGGCAGGAAAACCCCCGAGCGAGGCGTGTGCTCCCCAAAGCAAACCAAACCAATGCCTTATGTCAAAGCAGATTGCACTGAGGGACATTCCTGCTCCAGGAGAACGTCCCGGGTTGGTTTAATAAAGAACAGGAAGGTTGGGAAGTTGAGCAGCAGTTGGTGTGTTCGGGGCGAGGGGGTGTCCCCGTGATCCCATAGATCCCAACCATCCTGCTCCATCCTCCTCTTTAGGATAACCCTGTCTTTGATCCACTGTCAGGCCAGCTTGGAAGTGCAGGAATTGGGACTGGGGGAGGAATGTCTGGCAGACAAGGAATCTTTATTGATTTGACCCCAAATGGGAGCTGGGATCTGCTTCCCAAACCTTCCCCAGGGCCGCATCCCTCTCCGCATCCCTCCGCCACTTCCACACCTTGGATGATCCGAGAACCACCTGGGCTCTGGGAACTGGGTTGGGGTTTTTTTTAGAAATTTGGGGTATTTTAGTGACTCTGGAGAACATTTTCTTCCAGGAGTGCTTGGGACAGCCGGAGCCAGCGGGGGGGTGCAGGTGGGAGGCGTTTCCCATGGGAAGAGGGGGATTTTCCCCCTTTATCCTCGTTTTTCAGCAATGCACTAATTATTATTATGATTATTTTTAACATCTCCCAGCAAGGATTTCTCCCCGTTAATATTTAGCAGGAACTATCCCACTTCCAGCCTGATCCACACCAGGCACTGCCGAGGGATCTCTGTCCTGAAATTCCAGGTTTCCTCTTCCTTTCCAGCCTTTTCCCTTGTTTCCCTGGAAAAATACGATGTGGAGATCACATCAGTTTTATTTTGTCAAGGTTTGCAGAAATTTGGGATGCAAGAAGAAGGGGGAGGGGCACAAATCCCATCCCCCAAAACTCCCCTAGATTTGATTTCCAAGGTTTGATTTCCAAGGTTTTATCCGAAGAATTCCAGCTGTTCTTTGCCAAACCCCCTCCTCCCTGTCCCTGCTGCATTTGGGGGTGAAGCAGCAGCATTTGAGGGGCTCTAAAGCTCCTAAAAAGTGGGGGTTTTGGGGCATTTGGACCCGTGGATTCTTTCCCAAGGTACAGACATGAGGAATTCCATGTGCCGAAGCCACAAGAGGTTTTTTCTTCCCAGCCTGAAGCACTCGCTTGTGTACATATTCCTTGGAAATTCCATCTTTTCAAGTTGCTGTTCATTTTTTTTAATGTTATATATATATATATATATATATAAAAAAAAAAACAAAACACAAAAATCTCTTCCTTGAGCTTATCCTGTTGTTGTGGGAAGCGATCCGGGGGGGCCCTGGGGGTGTTCCGGGGCCGCGGCGGTTCCGGCAGCGCCGGATCCTCTGGAGGACACGAGTCCCAGGTGTGATCCCAGGGCCCCGTTCCTGTTTTGTCTGTTATTTGCAATTATTATCGGATTAAAGTTGTCATTGGAGCCATGGCAGCCTCGTTGCAGTGCAGACACGTGGGATGGGGGTGGTGGAGCAAAGGGGGGGGGTATCCCATAAATCCCGCTCTGAGCTGTCCCAAAAAGGGCTGCGGGGTGGGATGGGAGCGAGTGGGATCTGCTGGAGTGGGAATCCCCCCACCCTCGGCACAGGGTTTATGGAGCCCTGGCCCTGTCACATCCCAGCTGCTGTGTCCCCAGGGGGTTCCATGTCCCCCTGGCGTGCCAGCCCCCCTCTCCTTCTCCCCTGGAGCCGATGCCAGCCCCTCCTTGGGGGGGGTCCCCGAGCTGGGGGGTCACTCATGGCCTGGGTGCTGGTGGGGGGGAGAGAGGGGGGGCCTTGGGGTAATGGGGGAAATTAGGGTTGGGGGGGGTCAGGAATGGGGGGTTATGGGTGGATGGGGTGCCCTAAGTGCCAGGGAGGGAGGGATGGAGGGGGTGCCCTGGGTGCTGGGGGGAATTGGTTGAGGGGGGTACCCTGAGTGCCAGGGAGGGATGGAAGGGGTGCCCTGGGTACCAGGAATGGGGGTTATGGATGAGGGGGCTACCTGGGTTAGCAGGGATGGAGAGACTGGGGGTGGGAGAGGGCCTTGAGTACCAGGGATGGAAATGGGAGTTCCCTGAGTACCAGGAATGGGGGGAACCAAGGGTGGGGAGGGTATGAGGGGGGGCTGCTCTGGGTCCCAGGGAGGGATGTGGGGGAACCCCGGGAGCCAAACTGGGAGGGGGGTGTGGGTGATGGGCAGAGCGGTGCCCGGATACCAACCGCGGGCAGGGGGATGGAGACACTTCCCGGGGGACAGGGAGGGGTTGGGGGGTCCCCCGTCCGCGGGGACCTGTGCGCTGGGGAGGGAGGGGACACCCAGGGGGTGACATCAGGGATGGAGGGCGATCCCCGGTTCTGGATCCCGGTGCTCGGTTCCGGCGCCGGTTAGCCGGTGCCGGTGTCCGGCGGTGTGTCCGCGGTGCCGGTTCCCGGTGCGGTGCCCGGTTCCCGGTGCCGGTGCCCGGTGCGGTGCCCGGTTCCCGGTGCCGGTTCCCGGTGCGGTTCCCGGTGCCGGTTCCCGGTCCCGCCGCCCCCGGAGGGGCCGCCCCGCCCCGCCGCACGTGACGCTGCGCGGTGGCAGCGAGCGCCGGGGCCCCGCTCGGCTCCGCTCGGTACCGGCCCCGCTCCGGGACCGCCCCGGCCCCGCCGCCCCCGGTAAGTGCCGCCCCGAGGGGACCGGGCACGGGGGTCCCCGCGGAGAACCCCCCCCCGGGGTGTCCCCCCAGCCCCGACGCAGCACCGGGGGGTCCGTCCGCCGGTGACCTTCAGTGCCGCCGGTACCGGGGGAGGGGATGGCGGGGGGATGCTCCGGGCCTGGGGGAGAAGGACGCGGGTTGGGGGGGGGGCGGGAGGGACGAGTCCCCCATTTACCCCCCAGTCCGTCCCCACAATATCTCCCCCACAGTTACACCCTGCATCCTGCCCCCCCCAAACCTACACCCCCCCGGATACCCCAAAATCCACCTCCCCCCGCTCCTGCCCCTCATCGTTTTCTCTCCCTACCCCAGTCTCCCCACTCTGTCTCCCATGTCCCCTCCCCTAAACCCAGCCTGTGCCCCCCAGCCTGGCACCACATTTAGGGCACCCCCCCCCCCCACAGTGCTGCCCCCCACCCTCCCCGGGACTGCCCCCCAGTTTGGGTGCTGGGAAGGGGGGTGAGCGATAACGGAGCCCCCCAAGGACCCACCAGCCCCGCGGGGTCACGCTGCGGCCCAGGGGTGCCACGGGTCGCGTTTGCAGAGGGTCGCGCTGGCGCGGGGACGGGTGGCGGTGTCGCATTGGCACCAGGGTCGCCTTGGCACGGGGACAGCGGGGTCGTGCCGGCTCGGGGCCGGGTCACGCGTGCCCCGGGGCTGTGCCGGGCTGCGGCTGTGTTTGCACAGGGCTGGGTCGCACCCGCACCGCGCCGGGTTTGCACCACGGCCGTGTTTGCTCAGGGACGGGGCTCGGCTGCACCTCCTTGGCACGGGCACGGGGACAGCGGCGTGAGGGTCCCCTTGGCACCGGGGGCGTCATTGTGTTTGCACGGGACCGGGGCACGTTTGCACCAGGGCTGTGCTTGCACCAGTGTCGCGTTTGCACGGGGACGGTGGCGTTGGCACAGGGATGGTCACACTAGCACGAGGAGGGTGGCATTTGCACGGGGACGGTGACATTTCCACAGGGCTGGTGACAGTTGCATGGTGGCCCTGGGCCTGTCACATCCCGGCCCTGTCCCCACCCTGGCGTGTCCCCGGGGAGGTCCCTGTCAACCCCCCCTTCACGGTGCCAGCCCTCCCTCCTCCCTGCCTGGAGCTTGTGCCCGTGGCACGGGGATGGCGGCACTTTGACTGCGTCGGTGACACTGGCATGGGATTGGTGACACTGGCACGGGCATGGTCACATTGACACGGGGTCAGTGACACTTGCACGGGGATGGTGACGCTTGCAGGGGAATGGTGACACTGGCACCAGGTCGATGACAGTGGCACGGGGATGGTCAAATTGGCGCGGGGTCGGTGACACTTTCGCGGGGTCGGTGACACTCCCGGGGTCGGTGACAGTGGCTCGGGGCGGGTCCCGGTGCCCGGCGCTGTCCGTGGTGCTGCCCCCGCGCCGCCGCCTCCCGCCGGCAGAGGGAGCCCCTCGGGTTGGGGGGGTGGGTGCGATGAGTTGGGGGGGTCTCAGCGGCCGGACCCCCCCGCGCAGTGACCCCGCACCCCCCGCTCCCGCCCCCCCCGGCCCGCAGCCGGGCGGCCCTGGCAGGGTGGCCCTTGCCCCGCTGCCATCCCTCAGTTCCAGAGGTGGCACCGCTGCCCGGGCGTCCCGGCGAGGGGTTGTGGGGGAGTTCTCCTCTCCCCCAGGAAGCGCCATGGGCCCCCCCGGACCCCTTCGCACCACCTAGACGTGTCTCCAGCCAGCACCACCACCCCACCTCCAGGTAAGCCCCCATGGGGTGCTCCCCACCCGAGGGTGTCAGTCCCAGGGGGGTGACGGGCACCCACAGCCCCCGTCTCCCCAGGGCAGCAGGATGGCCCAGCAGCGCCACGCCGTCCCTCCGCCACTCAAGGTAGGTGTCATTGGGGTGGGGGGCACCCAACCAGCACCCAGAGGAGCCAGCATGGCCATCACCCGCTCCAGTAGCCACAGGTACCACCATGGCCATCACTCCCCCCTTGTCTTGCAGACGGAGGAGGATTACATCCCCTACCCCAGCGTGCACGAGGTAGAGCACCCACCCCCTCCAGAGAGGGGTGCGAGGGCCGCTGGGTGGGTGTGGGGGGAGTGGGTGGGTGTGTGTGGGGGGGTGGGCGCCCAGAGCACCCACCATGGCACTGGGTACAGGTGCTGGGCCGGGAGGGGCCGTTCCCCCTCATCCTCCTGCCGCAATTTGGGGGTTACTGGATCGAGGGCACCAACCACCAGCTGAGCGGGACCCCCGACTCACCCCCCACCCCAGCCCCCGGCACCCGGGCAAAGCTGGAGGGCAACCACACGGCCAAGATCTACCGCAAGCACTTCCTGGGCAAGGTGAGGCCCTGAGGGGCTGCAGGCGTGGGGTCTGGGGGTGGGAGGATCACCCCATGGATGTGGGTGGGCATGGGTATGGTCACAGAGACCTCATGCACGTGGGTGCTCGTGCATAGGGGTGCTCATGGCCATAGATGTGGGTATCCATGGCTATGGGGACCCCGTGGAACTGGGTGCTCATGGACATGGTACCCTATGGCATGGGTGCTCATGGATGTGGGTGTGTGCTCCTATGGGTGCAGAAGCCCCATGGGAATGGGTGTTCATGGGCCTGAGTGCTCATGGAGGTGGATGTCGGGTATCCATGGGCATGGAAGCCCCACGATATGGGTGTTCATGTACATGGGTGCCCCACGACAAGGGTGCTTGGGTGGGTGGGTTCCCCATGGGTATGGATGGGTATGGGCATGGAGACCTCATAAGCATGGATGCTCTTGCATGTGAGTGCTCCTGGACATGGGTGCCCCATGGATATAGGAGCCCTGTGGAACTGGGTGCTCATGGAGGTGGGTATTGGGTATCCATGGGCATGGGAGCCCCATGGGTGTGGGTGCTCAGGGACATGGGTGTTCATGGGTGTGTGTATTTATGGGCACGGGTGACCAATGGCCTGGGTGTCCCATGGGCATGGGTGATTATGCATGTGGGTGCTCCAAGGGGATGGGTGCTCATGGATGTGGATGCTCAGGGACCTTGGTGCTCCATGGATGGGTGAGCGTAGCTGTGGATGTCCATGGGCACAAGGAACCTACAAGTGTCCATAGGATGGGTGTCCCACAGACATGGGTGCTCATGGATGACAGTGCTTAAGGACATGGGTACCCCATGGGATGGGTGCTCATGGACACGGGTGCCCCGTGGGTGCCCCATGAGTGTGCACAGGAAATGCTTATGGGGTCTCCATAAGCATGGGTGCTCATGGGTGCTCATGGACACGAGCACCCTGTGGGGACAGATGCTCATGGATATGGGTGCCCATGGATGGTGATGCTCATGGACACGGGTGCCCCATGGATAAGGTTCCCCATGGGGATGGGCCCTCATGGGTGATGGTGTCCATGGGTATGGGTGCTTGTGGATGATGGTGCTCATGGATACGGGTGCTCATGGACACAGGTGTCTCATGGATATGGGTGCTCATGGACACAGGTGTCTCATGGATACGGGTGCTCATGGACACAGGTGTCTCATGGATATGGGTGCTCATGCACGATGGTGCTCGTGGACGTGGGTGCCCCATGGATGATTGTGCTCAAGGATATGGGTGCCCCATAGATATGGGTGCCCCATGGATATGGGTGCCCCATGGATGATTGTGCTCATGGACATGGGTGCCACATGGATATATATGGGTGCTCATGGATGATGATGCCCATGGATATGGGTGCCCCATGGACATGGGTGCTCATGGATGACGGTGCTCACGGACTGGGGTGTC